ATGTTCACATTTTGATAAATCTGAGAAGAATAAATCATTTTTGAAAAATTGAAAAATTTGTAATTTTTGCTCAAAATAAGCCGGTCCTGAAAGGGTTAATGGAAAAATTTTCTAGTTTTTCATCAACATATTCAGTTCTTTCTCAGAAAGCAGTAATTACACAAGAAGTTGATCATGACACACAAGAAGAGTTAATCATTGTTTTAACAATCAAAATCTGAAAAAGTAACAAAGACTAATCAAACTTATAAAATCAATTAATTATTTGCAATATTCAGACTTCTATATGTGAATCGAAAAAGACTACATATATCAATTTGCGGAACTATTCATAATGTCAAGAAATTATCTTTTATTTTATTGCTATTGAACACTATTGAATATAAAGAACTTGATGTGTTTATTTCTATGCTTGAAAATAAAAAGTAAATTTAATCAGCATTAAATCTTTCGAAAAATAACTTTTTATACATAATAATACGGATGAAAAACTTCTGAAAACGAATCTTTATCATTTCATAGGAGATAACAGTACTCTTACCTATTCTGAAACAACATACTTTCATTCAATTGTCGAAAACATATTATATTTGCATTTTCTTATTCTTTAACTGAAAAGATCTATTAAAAGAAGGTAAATTCAATAGGTCATCATTATTGAACACGACTTTTTCAACAATAATTAGCATAAAATAAATAAATTTAAAGATTATTTAAGGTCTCTCTCACGTTAAATAATTGAACAATCTGTACAGCAGAGGCGCATTCAAAAGATGGTATTGTTTGTAGAAGCTGACTACTAGAGGTTTTTTGAAGTGTGGCCACGTTACATTATAATACATATAGGTTTTTGAATCAAATAAAAGAAAAATTTTCGAAAAACTAACATTATCGTTTCTATCGATGTGAAGTTAGCACGACGTGATGCTACCACGACGGATTTAGGTGATTGCTGAATCCTTAACATTGGAACCCAGAGGCGCAGGGCCTGCATGTGGGTGCTCGGAAGGACATACCCAACATCCTCATACAGATCCTATGCCTCTGGGTTCCAACGCTGAGAATCCAGAGATCACTTAAATCCGTCGTGGTAGCTTCATGTCGTGCTAGCTTCACATCGATATCGTTTCTCATAGTTCTCTAACTTAATGTTCTACTGGGTAAAACAAAAATAATTCACTCACAGCTTTAAAAGATTTATTGAGAGGCAGCGATATAGTTTGAAATTCACGCTATTCAAGGTGATTGGATGTATGAATCTTCTCTTCACGCATATCTACGCTCACACACTATTTGCTACGATGATGCAAAACAAAAGGTTAATATGTCTTATGACTGTGGTTTAATATATTATTCATTTTGACTTATCTATCAAAAATTCGCATGATGATAGGTTCCTTAAAGAAGAAACACGTGATGTGGTTGCACTTTTTTTTACATAACATTTTTCCAGCGTGAGCATATTTTCAATTATACTCATTCGATTTCGCTTAAATCAACAGAATGGGAAAAAAATATGTGGCTTTTTTCTCATTCTGTGCTTCTATTCTTTTATTAATTTGTTTTGACTCACTGATAATTTCTCCAGAATGTCTTTTTTCGGTTCTGTGTCACATTGGGAAGTTTTATAACGGCTTGGCCACGCGCTACAGAATTTCATTTTTTCACATTGTAACACTTATATCTCATCAACGATAAAAGTAAATCTCCTGAAATTTTTATCATATATGGAGACCATTTAGATCTATTACGAATAAAAATTTTTATCGATTTCTATGCAGCCAAGGCTGAGTTATTAAAAAAATGCCGACCGTTACGGAATTTCAAAAACTGGAAATTTTTTTAGGGCGAGCTGAACGCTAAGGGTTTTACTACGCAACGAAGTGACGTACAACTAAAAGCTCTGTATAAAAATTGTTCAGTTCTCCATAAGCTTTCGGAATATCAGTTCATTTCTTAACAAGTATGATTGCATCGAATAAAAAACTGTCAACATTGTCCGTTACGGAATTTCGTTTTTTTTTCGATTTTCTAATGCGGAAAGTTTGAGACCTTGAAATTTCCAATTATCACGATAAAAATCCATCTTTTTTCTAATCCACGAGTAGTACAGAGATAGTTCTATCATCCAAGTATGTCAGTTTTACTCTCACAACGAAATGACATTAGAAATTCTGTCTATTTTTCAGGCAAAAAATGAAATGTAACAGGATTCAATACTAAATTTTTTGGTGAAATTAGTCAAAAAATTTCTTTGTAGACCCTTGTCGAATGAAAATAAAGTTCATATCGCTGGTCAACAAAGTGTCTCAGAGCTTGCAACATGTTTCATAAACCGTCGGTAGTGCACTTTTGATTTTAGAGAGAATTTTCTTTATTTTTGTGAGTTAAAACCTTCCCCGTGCGAGGGTGACCGATGCGTGGCCACGCCCTTATTCAAGTGGTCTTGAAGCGTTATTCAATAGAAAATACAAATGAATAAAGATGCAAAACGTCTTCTAGACGATATAAGTAATCTTTCTATTTAAAACGATCTTTTGCCATAATTTTATTTATTAGAATTCAATCCATCATCAATGAAACATGTTTGTCGTAGTATAACTTGTTTACTTGATTTACCCGATGAAATTTTACTTCTCGTTTATCGTTATTTGTCTCTCTATCATGTTCTTTATTCGTTTTATACACCTTCGAAACCTAAACAACGTCTTCATCGTATGATATATGATTATTATACAAAAATAAAACTTGATGGAATAAAAACTAATGAATACAATTATTTATCAAAATTATTTTCTGATTCTGAAACTCCTATACGACCGAAATCACTAATATTGTGTAATGAAAATATTACCTGTTTAACATACCATTATTTTACTTCTATATCTGATGATCTAATTCGCTCGATGTTTGGCAATTTAAAACATCTTACATTAAAGGATTGTTCAGAAAGTGATCTTCAATATCTGAATAAATATATTAGAAGTCTAAAACAACTTCAATATATTCATATAACTATACAGAAACCTGATATCAATCAAGACATGTTTATTAAAGAGATTCTATAAAAATGAAAATATCATTTTGATCTGATTTAGATATAGATTATCTTCCAACATATAATATATTAATTAATCAACTATTATTCAATAATCACATCTCTTCTATTCATACGATTTATTATGAAATATATAATGGACTTTCATTAAGCAAAAATCATTGATATCTCAAAATAATCTTCGAAATGTTAATCTTGTTTTACAAACTATTGATGATTTATATATATTACTTGATGGACTTCTTCCAAATATCCAAACAATGATTATTAAATTGTGTCAATCAAGAATGTTTTGTAAGTAAAGAAGAAAAACGCATAAGAGGACGAATCTACCCATCTTCAGTTTTTCAACACAAATATATATATAAATATATCGGTGCAGAATTTGATGGAGAACCATTTCAAGACGAATTTAATCTATTGCGAAAGCATTTTAATGGATATCGACACAGATTACTAGACTATATTTTTGCTCTAACCTAAGGCCTATATTTTGACAAAAAGTTAATCAAAACATTTGTTAGTCTCGCTATAAATAGTTTGAATTGAAAGAGCGAAGTGCGTTGTACAAATTCATATACAAATCATCTAAAAATACCAGATAGAAACTGAACTTCTCTCATGAAAAAATAGTATTTGTATCGATATTTTAAGGTAAATCATAAAGCTTAAGTCTTCTCGTGACGGTTCGATAGAGTTTTTTTCGGATTACACGCTGATATAATTCTTTTTTGTTCATTTTTCTGACCAAAAATTTTCGAAGGTGAATACCGCCTAAAATAGTGAACATACAGATTTTCTTTTCAGAAGAAAATATGATGTTCAGATTGTTAAAACAAAAATATTCATCTAGTTCGTTTGAATTGATCGAACTTGATTAGTCAAGGTTTGTTATCTGTGCATTTCTGATTCATAACGAATTATTCAAATGTTTCCACAATGTTTTATATGCACTTAACGCGTTTCGAAACATGAGCGAATAATATATTCGAAAAGTAATAATACAATAAGTTGAATCTAATAAAGAAAAGAGAATTATATCAGCGTGGAGTTCGGAGAAAACTCTATCGAATCGTCACGAGAAGATTTCATCATTAAGCCAATTTAAGAAATACTTTGGAAGACTGAAGCTTTATGATTTACCTTAAAATATCGATACAAAATCTGATATTTCTAGATAATTCATATATAAATTTGCGTAGCATACTTTGCCCTTTCAAATCAAACTATTTATAGCGAGACTAGCAAATGTTTTGATTAACTTTTTGTCAAAATATAGGCCTTAGGTTAGTGCAAAAATATAGTCTAGTAATCTGTGTCGATATCCATTAAAACGTTTTCGCAATATATATTAAATTTGTTGCTAAACAATCCTCCATCAAATTCTGCACTGATATTTATATATATACTATTGTTGGACTGTAAAGACGGGTCAATTCATCCTGTTGTACTCTCCCGTCCTTTCGTGGAAAAAATTATTCAAATAATCATTTGTCCAACTTTGAATATATTTCTATTGTAGCTTGTCGTCATTCTCAAAGTTCACCATGGGCATGTCCTCAATTAACTGATTTTTACATTATTCGAATCATCTACTGAATTTGTTATTGATGATATCAAATCTATTTTGGCTTATATGACAAATTTAAATAAATTGACCTTAAGTATTCATGATACATTTGATCCATTATTTTGTCATGGTCCCATGTTTTGAATCAATTTTAAGTGAATGTCTTCCATATCTTTGTCAATTTGTTTATACAATGACTCATCAAATTGCTAATCAAATATTAATTAAAGATTTTGTTCGATGGCCAATGAATGTTATATTCTATGGTATTGAACATTGTCGATGGATACATATCTATTCTTTATCATGACCATCAAATAAAGATGATAAACGACAAATACCTATTGTCAGAATTGGATCAAATCCGTCAGTATTATCAGATGTTAAAAGATATGAATATATGAAAAGTGTGATAATTATAAAAGACAACGAATTTACTCTATTAAATACAAAATTTAGTCATGCTTGTGAAATAATAAGTTGTTTATTGGCTGATATTAAATTACCATTTCGTATTTCTAAACTAATTTTTTCAGACCAAACACGTAAGTATCTTTTATCAAAAAAGATAATTGTTAATTAAACAGTTTTAGCTATTTTTTCAATAAATTCAATAATTCAACCTTCTGTTCGTCATTTAATTGTTAAACGTTGTTTATATGATGAAAGAGAAATGTTAACACTTGCTCATCAATTTTCACGTGTTAAATATTTAGAATTATTATTTTCATTAAATAAATCTTCATTTATTAATTGTTTCAACATTGTATTCAATCAAGATGATAATATTAAAAAGAAAAGTTGTTATTGGTCTGAATTGATCTTTTTTTCAACAAAATTATTTCATGTACGCACAAGTATTATTTCGAATGAAAGTCAATTGTATAATTCGTTCATTCGATATACAAATTTAAAAGATCCTAAACATTTTTTTCATCCTCATTGTCCTTTTTCAACTTTAACTATTTGGTATTGATTGTTTTAATATTTAAATAAAATCATTTGAACTTCTATTTAATACAAGAAATAAAAGTTCGATATTTTATCATCTTATTTTTATTCTTATTTAAAAATTATCGTTTTTCGTATTCTCAAAATGATGAAATGTCGAACAATGGAAATTAGAAATGAATCTAACTGTAAGAATAACGAAAATATTTAACCGAATCAATAAAGTGTTATATTAAGCACATTTATTTTCCATAACAAAACTAATTGCTAGTGTAACATCAATAATTTGTTGAACAAGGCTTTCAAGAAAAAGATTTTCATCCAACGTAGTCTTTATTCTCTTTGAATCTGTATTAATCACTAGAATTGATAATATTTCTAAATAGGTAGACTTTATCGAAACTGAAAACTGACACTACTACAATGAATATCTTCGACTTTTAATAGTACAAAGTGTAAACAAAACTCAATAATTGAACTAATTAATTGGCATAAAATAGACAAAACAAAGTATTTCAAAGAAACAATTGAATATGTTATTTTAAGATTATGTTTAAATACATGTGAAATTTGATTAGGAACACAAACTGATTTAGATTATAGATCCAGATTTGATCAAATGAATTCTCTCAAAGCTATTATTTTGACTGAACTTGAATTCATAAGTAGATTTCGTAACAATTTCTTTTATTACCTTATTGTCTATCTAAAGAATTTTCAGTGTAAACATCAACTTCGTAGACAATGACTAACGCTATAGGCAATATAATTGATTCGATGCAGTAGTATTCATTCACATTGAAAGAAATGCCATTGCTATTAGCAGACCAGCCATGATCCTAACTATTCTTTATAAGAATTCAATGTTTAAGGATCGAGTAAACTTGAAAAACTCGAGGATAAGCAATCAATTGGCTATGAAAAATGACGTTGATTCCTATAGTCTTCGAAACCTGTCAGTTGATCGTCGATTATTACGAATAGTACATGCTTTTTTCATCTTCTTATCAGAACATTCTCCAAAAATGCCAATTAAAAAAAAAGATCGATATTTGATACAACATATCTCTGTTCATCTATTCAATACATATCTTCTTCTTGTTTGTTTATCTCGATAGAAGAACTAAATGTAGATTGGACGGTGTGGTGTGGGTGTGAGTGTGAATGAAGAGAAGATTGAAATGAACACTCACGCCCGCCCACATCTACATCCCACACCCATACTCTATATTTTTATTACGGAAGTTGTTCGTTCGAATCTCTGACATATGTCAAAATTTTTCAATTTGTATCGCTTATGAGATTTGCTAAACATTTTAAAGCATATATATTCTTGAACAGTACATCAAACTGTACCAAACGAGGTATAACATTTTTTTAAAATCTGCTCCAATTTCGTATTGTTGGTACCTTACTCGAATAAATGCAATCTAAACATTGAAAAATGTCAATTTTTATCTTGATGATGAAAGAGGTTAGTTATAATTTAATTTTTATTACGATAGTAACAGCAACAAATTTTAACAGTACTCCATACAGTAGAAGAAACAGGAGCATTATCAATTAGTGTCCTTACAAAATTCTCTGTTGCTGAACCACCAACTCAAGTTCATTTCAGTAGCGCACAAATTTTTGAATCCGATGGTTGTTTCCGTCTGACACGTATAAATTGAGTTCATTGTCTAGCGCCAGCGAAGTTGGATAGTAAAGTTGTGTCGCAACATTACCAATTGCACTCGTAATACCAGCAATAGTTGTTCCATTCAGTTCCCCAGCTCTGAAAAACTGTATGCGGTGATTACTGTGATCTGCTACATAAAGATTGCCCCAACGATCAACAATTGCATCGCGAGGATGATTCAGATGCATGGATGTTGTCCCCGCGCCACCATTAATATTTCCCGCCGCAAGTGTCCAATCACTTGCACCTAACTTCCAGCGGACGATATTGCTTGCTCCATTGTTAACAATCAGAAGACTTTCTGATGACAAATCAAGAGTAACAGCAATAGGGTAGTAAAGCTGCGT